ATCATCAATCAGATCCGAGAGTGGTTCGACAGACTCTTCTAATGACAACAACGGTAACTTCTGATAGCCTTCGATTGGATCAAACAGTCTCATGGGTTCACCATCGATATCAGAATAACGTTGTTTCATATTCATGTCAAATTCTTCTCTTAATGATGTTGCCATGTAAGGCTACCATTTGAAACAATGCTTGTGGCTAAACCAAGTTCTTTTGAAAATTTGACTAAGTCACCAACAAAATTTCCTCGTTGAATACAAAATGGTTCACCACCACTAAAATTGATCTTCTTCATACCTTAAAACGGACAGATCTTTTAGTGAATAATAAGACTCATCAGAGGAACATTTACCGGCATCATAGAGCATTTTAATTCCACGTTTCGATTGTACTAATGGAAGAACATCACTTGTAATTGCCATATGAAAACAAAACTTACATTTGTAGTTACAAGCTCTTGTTAAGTGATAATTGACACTTAATGGAATGATATTCTGGTATTTAACCATATAATTCGACAATATTTGAAATACATAACAAAACGTATTTCATAGGTATGACAAGATACTTCTAATACATTCAAGCATTCTTCTAAGTTTATTAACTATCCTCATGTAACAGCTGCTAGCGGGATTCTATCGTCTTATAATCAGCAGCAGAAAAGCCTGGCGCGGGAAAATACCCAGTAAAATTCTTTATTTCTTTCTCTTTCTACCTTTTCCTTTATCGTGAAATATGACTGATACGTGACGCGTCTGTTCTCTTCTCTTGACGCATAGTTACTACAGACATTTATTTACTTACAATAGAACGACTGGGTCGTCTTATACTGAAGTTAACACTGAAATTCTTTCATCAAAAATTAGTCTGTGTCTGACTAAGTGGAACGTTTTTGCTTGGGCAGTTTCTCTCTCGATTCGCCAGAGTTTATGTGCTTTCATTACAAATCTTTATAAGTGACATCTTGTTACTCGAAATCAATCTAGTGTAACAGCAGGCTTACTGGCTTCACCAGGGTTGGCTAATAGGCTCATGGCAGTGCAAAAAGTAGGCTACGACCCATGCAACCAATAGAGACCCCTACATAAACTTTGAGTGATCGGATACAATAGATCACTCACTTATTCTAATATGACCAATGTACAATGATCAGTGTATGTCCATTAGATTTAACAGATGATATTGATATGTATGGTTGGAAGCCATTGACTACATATTATTTGTTTATTATTATATCCGTTATTAACCAATGTGTATATCGTTTCCAGCCTTTTTCGCCTATATTTATTCTGTTCTCTATCATAGATGACAGT